ATTTAAATAATGATATTATTTCAATAAATAAATATAGTGTAAATAACTAATTTCAATTATACCAATTAATAATTTTAGAAAATAAATTTAAAAAAATTACCGTTTATTAATAATAATTTTAAAATTTTAATATTTATTTATTATATATTTATCTATACTAAATTAATATTTGTTGTATTTAAATAATTATTTATTGTTTTTTTGATAAATATATTTCCAATAATTATGTATAAATCTATTTTTGTTTTGTTATTTAATAGAAAATTTTCAATAATTATTGGAGTTTAAACAATTATTATGTAACTTTTTAAATTTAATTTATTGTGTATTTTTGCTATAAATTTTTAATAATTATTAGAGATTAAACTATTGTTCACAGGTTGGTTCATTTCAATTGTAGGTTGTTTGGCCAACTAAATCAACCTAGTCAGGTTGGGGGATTGGTTACTCAAGTTATACTGGTTTGGGTCAACTTTCGGTTTGGTCGGTCGGGTCAAATGATTTAAACTTAAAAATTAAGTTTAAATTTAGAAAAATATAATGGCATTATTAAAAATGGCCAAAGTGAAACTAATCCAACCTAGTCGTGTTGGGAAATTGTTGAGCCATAGGTGACTAGAAATACTAGAAATCGGGTTGGTCAATTTCATTAGTTTGATTTAGAATGGCAATGGGGTGGGGCGGGGACGAGGAGCCTCTTTCCATCCCCGTCCCCGCAAAAATCACTGTCCACGTCCCTGTCCCCATCTCTGCTAACAGGGACAAAGTTATCCCCATCCCTATCTCCCCGGGGATCCCCACTTACTACGATTCTTTATAATGTTATTTTACTTAAAAAGTAAAAAGAAAAAAATTAAAATTTAGAATCCGATTAGAAAAGATTCAAACATATTCATCCATATTTTTAAAAATATTTACATATTGATATATGTGTACATATATACATATATAAACTATGCATAGATACATATGTTAGCGGGGATCGGGGCCCACATGGGGTAGGGAGTGCTCTCCCTGTCCCTACACCATCCCTGCCAACGGGTATGAAAGTTTCCCCATCTTCCTCCTTGCGGGGCGGGGCGGNGGAATCATTGCCATCCTTTCCCCATTTGGGGTAGATCCCCACAAGGATCAAGGAAATGGGGAAAATAGCCATCCCTAAGTTTGATAAACAACCCTATCTAAAATTAATTAATGTTTTGTAGTGTAAAAAAGTTATTAAAAGTAGTATATAAAATATAATTATTATACAAAATAATTGTTTATAGGGATGTCAATGGGTCAAGTTAAATGGTAAACCCGACGTGACCCGACCCTTTAGGGTCAAGTATATTTGGTTTAGGGTCGGGTTAGAGTTTTGATTCTTTGACCCGAGTTGGGTTGGGTTGGGTTTGGGTTTTGGTTGACCCGCCCCCGTTGGGTCATACCTTGCATATATATCAAGTATTATCGCAATTCTTTTTGACTTCTAACGTTATAGGCTTAAAGTTTATAGTTTATTTATATGTTGATTTGATTTTCTTCTTTTTTAAATGGATAAAATAACACCTTAGGATCTATAAAACAATTTCCTTATTTAAACTAAAGTATTTAGGGTCTTCAAAATGTGTTAAAAAAATACATTTTAAAACTATACAAGTTAAGTTGGGTCGGAACTGGGTTAAACCCTATAGGGTCGGGTCAAGTTTGGGAATCATGTATTTTTAAGTTAGGTCTGGTCAGGTTCAGGTTGGAGTGCTGGAGGGACGGGTTAGGATTGAGGCAAACCCATGCCGTACCCGAGCCTAGATTTCCTACTCACTCTCTACTCGTCGTGAATTGCAGCCACACATCTCTCGATTCATAATAGAAATGTGTTGCTCCAATTCACAATGGGTAGAGAATGGGTAGCAAAAGTGAGTAGGAAATCCCAAGTGTGTCATACCCAACCCGTTGACATCCCTATGTATACTCTTACATGTTTTATATTGTTTATCTTTAACTTAACAAATCACATGCATCGCACGGGTCTCCGCTAGTTTTCCATAAAACTAGACAGCCTAACCAATCTTTCATTACAAATTAAGAACTTTTCCTCAACTTTCTATTTTCTCTTATTTTCTAGATGATAGCAAATAAGAGAGAAATAGAAAGTTGAGGAAAATTTCTTAGTCTATTCATCATTACAAGTTAAGAACTTTCCCTCTTTCTATTCTCTATTTCTATAAAACCAAACATAGCCTAAACAAAATGCTAAGTGAATTGATTATGAAGGGAACTTTGTCAACAAACATAAAAATGATAAAAGTACCAAAAAGTTTTTAACTAGTCACATAACCCACTATTTAATTTAGGGCAAATATCTTAAATTACCCCTATTGTTTAGTTAATTGACAAACTGTACCCTTAATGTTTATATATTGTCTTAAAGTATTATAGTTGACATAGTCCTTAAGTGCTAACCAATAACAAAATGTTTAATTTACCCTCCACTATTTCTCAAATTTTCAAAATAAAACGATAAAAAATTTGAAGAACTGTAATGAAGCCGTTCTTGAGGATATTTTGGATCTCCTAGGATCTTTGTTCGATGTCAAAGCCCAGAGCGATTTCACCTCTACGATGCTCACCAGGATTCAAGAGCGTGGTTTCCCGCCCCATTCATTCTATCCTCTCGCACAAGAATGATTTGCGTAGCTGTGTGCAGCATGCCGTGTTGGTATTGGTGATCGGAGTCGAGCTATTGTGTGGCAAGTGAGGGAGATGATACTTTGAGTTGCATCTTCTCCTGGCCCATTGTTTATCACATCATCAACAATCACTTAAAAAGGTTTTGGTATGTGAGAAGTTGGATGATTTCCATGGCGTGCTTCACAATTCGGACAGCCATAAGTTAGATTGGTGGTTCCTAGGTAGAATGAACATCAAGTCAGTGCTTCTTTGCTCCCCAAAGACACGAACACACTCCTTCAATTCTTCTCTCAGACCGAAACCCGTTCTCCCCATGTCCTAATGTTATTTTGAATGATCCTTATTTCATGGTTTCTGGTTTTTACGGACCATACCTTTGGTTATTGACTATGTTGCTTTGTAGATTTGAATTTTTTACAGACCATATCTTTGGTTATTGGCTAAGTAGTGGCCAAAGAGAATATTAGCAAAATGCTGCCTTGTAAAGCTGGAAAGAGGAGTAATCATGTAAATTAATGGATGAAGAAAGAAGGAATTTTTGGATGCAGATAAATGTAATAAGACCATTATTTGTTGAACTTGTTAAGTTTTGAATTGTAAGTTTGGTTAAGAATTCAAAGGGTCAAGACTTCATCGCTAATTCGGTTGTGGTTTAAAAATTTTGTCAGATTTTTTATAGGTTGAAAATGTTTCGATTCGGAATTGGGGAATACCAAGGTTTTTAAAATTGGACTGGACAAGGAAGTGATCTGGGTTCGGTTTCCAGGTTGAACAGTACGACTGTCTGGTCTGAATGAACAGCCCACTCTAACAGAAAAAGTTAAAAAAAAAAAAATTCCCAGATCGAATAGTTTGATGGTCCAACCATCCAAGTCAACAGTTTACCGACCAAATCAATAGTTTTTGGCCGGAAAAGCGATTTGGGGTTAAACAGAACCAGTCAACTCCCGTTTTTTTCAGTCTAACCATCTGGTCCAGTTTTGTAAACATTGGGGAATACATTGTTTGGGATTTTCAGGAATAACAGGAAATAATTTGTAGAGCACAGAGCAGTTGCAGTGAACTGAAGTTATGGAGTGTGGTACTACTTTTATTGGAATTCAAGAAGATTGAAGGCATCGGGTAGCAAAGAGAAGATGGGCGGTAATATAGGGGTTTGGGTTTGTCAGCAAAGAGCAGACGAGCCATGAGATACAGTAGCGGCATTACCCATTGTTTTCGTTCCCTTTAGGTTGGGTTTGGGGGGCAAGACGAGCCATGAGATATATAGAAGAGATTACCTAGCTTGCAGGAGAGGGATGAAAGGTAATAAATTTTATATGTCACGTATATATGGATACATTAACGGACGCAACAAGAGTAGAATTACTCAATTGTTAGAAACAATAATCTTTTATTAACGACGTGCTCACGTTGTTTCCTCAATTTCTTTGGTGCCGTGGCCAAAGTCATCTCCAATGAATTGATTGATCAAAGCTCTCATGCTGTCATACCTTTCGGCATCATAGATTTATCCCATTGTTAATTATTGCATTGAAGTTCAATGGGCTTTGACTATGATGCCGTATAAACTTATGATGTGGTTATTTATCAAATTCGAGGGGTTGAATGATCAAAAAGCCCATTTTGGTACCCGCCCAAGTTCAATATATGAAATTCTACATTTTTCCTCTAGAGAGGGGACGTTACATCATCACTTGGATGCTTGATGTTGAGCAAATTCTGTGCCAAAGAAATCCATATCAGGGGACTAGCTGTTGATCATCCAATCAATTATTTTAACATCAAGAAAAGCCTTTGATTGGAAACTTGGCAATTATCTTACCTTCCGCCACAAGATTAATTGATGTTAATTAGTAACTCTATGAATCCATCTTTTAATTTAATTTGAGGAAGATAAGCTAAGCTATTATTGTTCAAAGTCTTAAAGCTCCTTTTGTTTGAGCAAAAGGGGTGGAAATTCTTTCCTTGGTCATATAGTTTTGTCACTTTTTATGGCACAAACTCTGGGATAGGCCTCTTTATCCGACGTCTGTTTTCTTCTCTGAGAGAGTACTAATACACCCTTTGGACAAATCAAATGGTGTATCATCAGTATCAACCCCAATCTTTGTGATCACTAGCTAGGGTGGTAGACAGTAGAACCATATACAGATCCCGGATGGGTGGTCGCCGGCCGGTCGGTTCATTATTATGTATTTTAATCTCTGTTTTCATTATTTTTCAAAAACTATGTATTTCGTCATTTGGAAAGATAGGTATGCCAAATCAAATTGATCATGAAATCATAATAATTATAAAATAGTAAACCATAAAGACGAAGAAAGAGATAATAAAAATTAAATGGTAATGGTAATGCATATGTTTATTAGGTATTTTTTACATAAAAAAAAAAGCCAATAAAGGAAGAGGAATGAAAAAGCAAAGTAGAGCTACCGGTGCAACACAACAGCCACCGGGCCCAAGGTAATTATTTGTTAAGATTTCAGGATGCATGATTAAGCAAAAGTATACAAAGTAACACACATCACATCAACAACAAGTGAAACAATCAAGTTATAGAGAAGACCGGAAAATGAATTCTCTAACGACCGTCGTTAAGGCCGGAGACTTCATGGGCTCCATGAGTTCCACTCCATGATAACCTCCCTCCTGAAACCAACTCACCACGGTGACACCCTCTTCTTCTAGCATCTTCACAAACTCCATCTGTTGGCTGATCAGCAGGTCTCCACTGCAACCCGTCACCAAGCATCGCCCAAGCAATCCAATCTGATGGGTAAGGCTGCCGGTCGTCATGGGGTTGGAATAAACATGATCACGATCAGATCCGACCGGCAACGACAATTCCCACATCACATCCGTCACTGACAACGGCAAGAATGGATTATTGGCCAAATTCGATTCTGATTCCGTCCTCTGTGACCCACCAAAGAAAGGCTGATGCAAAATTAGCCCAGTGATCTTGAGGGGCTCAAGATCATGCGCCATCGCTTGCGCACGTAATCCTGCATGGTAGGCAATATTACCTCCTGCGCTGCTGCCCATGAGGAAACACTGCGAACAATCACCCAACTCTCTCAACCACTCCTCTTGCTCACTTTTCTCGTTCAATAACTCTAGCTGGTTCTTGATAAAGTGCAACACTTCAACGGCATCTTCGTAGGCCGCAGGGAGGCGGTGCTCCGGAGCCAAACGGTATTCAACCGAGATAACCAAGGCAGGCAGTTCGGCAGCCAAATTTGAGCAGAAGTCGTGAAATATATTCCAGGCTGCAGCGCCGATGATGAAGCCACCTCCATGGTAGTAAACTATAAGAGGGAGCTTGCCGGAGGAAGAGGAGAAGGATGGAGGTAATCGACGAGGCCGGTATATGCGGAGCCAAGTTTTATTGGTAGTATTGAGGGGGATGTCTTTGGTGAGGACTGCAGAATCGGATTGGTGGTCAGCTGCTGCAGAGACGGTGGGGAAGGAGATGAGTCTGGTGAGGCTACCGTCGGAGTTGGGGACGATCTGGAGAAAGTCATAAGGGCTGACGTTGGGGACTGTAAATAGAGGTTGATCTGCCATTAGTTTCTGGTTATGGGAGCAGAAATGAGATCACAGAATTGAGACTTTTGTAGTAGGTGTTTGATGACAAATTGATTACGGAACAATAATGACCAAGAACAGGAAGAAGTTGGCCATATATATACGCAAATGTTTATTAGGTGGATGTCTTACTTTCAATCACATGGCTAACCGTCTAAAGGAAATGTTAAATATTGGCAAGCGACTTAATAAATATAAGTAGCTCGGTGACTAGTGATCGAGGAAAGAAAAAAGATTAGTTAAGTTGATAAAATAGCTGAACCATTAAAATAGCGGAGGGGCGCAGGGGCTGGAATGGAATTGCAATATAGCTATTTGTTACATTAAACAACACAATGGTTTTTTTAATAAGAATTGTAATTATAGGTACCTAAGTCTGTGAAATTCATATGAAGAATTAAAAAAAAATAATCATGTGATTGTTTTTTAAATGTTAAAGCATTTCATATAAAATAATATGGTCATACAAGGATATGATAGTTCTAAGTTTTCTACTTCATATTTGTACTTTGTTTTACATCAAGTAATTCCCGGTTGATTCGAATAATAGGATCATTCGGCCTGAGAATCGTCTAGGAAATCGGTTCTATTTTATCCCAAATCCGATCCTTGGCCAAAAATTGTTGAATTAGTCAATGATCCATTGACCCGGGCGGTTGATCCATTCAACGGTTTTTTGCCATTTTTTATTTTTTAATTTTTATTGTCAGAACGGGCCATCCATTCGAAGCAAAAGGTCAAACCGTCAACCTAAAAACTGGTGGTCAGAACAATTCCATTTTCGGGCTATTTTTTGTAGATGTTAATAATTAGACGAAATAACTTTGTGGTCATAATCATGGGAAGGGTGAACATTTCAAGGGATTCCAAAACATTGAAAGATAAATCCAAAGTGACCTTAAACATAGAAAAAATTGGCAGGTAAATCCACCAAACTGGAAAAACCAAGGAAAGAAAATCAGAAAATCGAGTCCAAAGTTCTGCTTTAAGACGGAGCTAAACATACATTCAATCAAAGAAAAACCAAACACAAAAAAGGGAAGAAAAAGACCCTAGACCGTTTTGGAAATAAAATGGTGATAAACCCTAGACCATTTTGGAGGATCTTGAAGAAGAAGACCAAACACACAAACACACACAAAAAAAAAACAGAAAATGAAAATAGAGGAACATACCGCACATGCTTGAATAAAGCCAACATTAGAAGAAACCTTTGAATAGTGAAAATCCAAAAGCACAAAAAACCATGGTTTTCGAACCACCGTTGACCCAGATGAACGGAAATTTTAGCCCAGGAACCGTCCAAGCAACCGGTTCCGCTTAACCCCAATCCCGGTCCCTAGCCAAAAACCGTTGAATCGATTAACGATCGAATAAAGTCAACATTAGAAGAAACCTTTGAATAGTGAAAATCAAAAAGCACAAAAAACATGGTTTTCGAACCACCGTTGACCCAAATGGACGGACATTTTAGCCCAGGAACCGTCTAGGCAACCGGTTCCGTTTAACCCCAATCCCGATCCCTGGCAATAAACCGTTGAATCAATCAACGACCCATTGACCTGGGTGGTCGAAATGTCGACCCATTGACTCCTTCAATGGTTTTGACCATTTTTTTAATTTTTTTTAATTGGGAACCGTCTAGGCAATCTGTTCCATTTTATCCCAATCCCGGACCCTAGCCAAAAACCATTGAATTGGTTAACGACCCATTGACCCGGGCAGCCGAACCATCGACACGTTTAATGGTTTTTGGCTGATTTTTTTTTTTAATTTTTGTTGTCAGAACGGGCCGTCCGTTTGAATCGGACTATCGAACCATCGACCTAAAAACTAGTGGATAGAATGGTTCTATTTTTGGATTGTTATGAGTCACTTTTGAATGACATAACACGTATGATACTACTTAATGGACCTCACACACTCAATTTTTTGCCTATAACTTTTGTTGTTAGAACGTGTCATCTGTTCTAACTGGATGGTCGAACTGCCATTTTTTTATTTTTTTAATTAGGAACTGTCTAGGCAAAAATTGTTGAATTGGTCAACGACCCATTGACCTGAGCGGTCGAACCGTCGACCCGTTGACCTGTTCAATGATTTTTGGCCTTTTTTTTTAATTTTTGTTGTTTGAATGGGCTGTCCGTTTGAACCAGACGGTCGAACCGTTGACCAAAAAACTGATGGCCATAACGGTTCCGTTTTCAGGTCATATGAGTAACACACTCGAATGACATAACACATATAATATTGCTTAATGGACCTCACACATGTATGATACTGCTTAACAGGCCGTCCCTTTGAACTAGACGGCCGAACTATTGACCCCAAAAATCGGTGGTCAAAACGGTTTCATAATTTTTGTTGTCAAAACGAGCCATTCGTTCAAACCGAACAATCGAACCGTTGACTTTAAACCGGTGGCATATATATATATATATTAAATTCTTTTATATATATTAAATTGTTGATTGAGAATTTTCATATATATATATATATATATATATATATTAAAGGGTTGCCATTTAACGAAAGGGGAGACCACCCCTATCCCTTTAATAGATATACTAGTGGAGTGGCCCTGTCTCGCAGGGGATGGAATGGAACCGTCAACCTGTTGACCCGGTCCTTGGCAAAAAACCATTGAATCGATCAACGATCCATTGACCTAAGTGGTTGAACCGTTGACCCATTGACCTGTTCAATGGTTTTTGGCCATTGTTTTTTTTTTTATTTTTTTTAATTAGGAAACATCCAGGCAACTGGTTCTGTTTTATCCTAATCTTAGTCCCTGGCCAAAAATCGTTGAATCAGTCAACGACCCATTGACCCAGGCTGTTGAACCGTTGACCTGTTTAATGGTTTTTGGTCATTTTTTATTTTTTTTTAATTCTTATTGTCAAAATGGGCCATCCGTTCGAATTGAACAATCGAATGGGTCGTTGACTGATTCAACGATTTTTGGGCAGGAACTGAGATTAGGATAAAACGGAACCGGTTGCCTGTATGTTTCCCAATTAAAAAAAATAAAAAATGGCCAAAACCATTAAACGGGTTAATGGTTCAACCGCTCAAATCAATGAATCATTGACCGATCCAACAGTTTTTGTCAAGAACCGGATCAACAGGTCAACGATTCCATTCCGTCTGTACAAAATAGGGCTCCTCCACTAATATATCTATTAAAGAGATAGGGGTGGTCTCCCCTTTCGTCAAATGGCAGCCCTTAATATATATATATATATATATATATAAGATGCTATATATATATATATATAAGGCTAATCATCTAATGCCCAATCTCCGGAAATGCCCTAAAGAAATTGGAAGAAAAGAAAAATTTAAGGAAATGCTTTGTCGGTGGGAATTGAAAATCAAGGATAAACATAAACAAATAGTGGAAGATACATGTGGTGGCAAGGTATTTTAGAGATTGAAAATGGTCCATTTTTTATAAAGGGTGACACACCCCAGATCATTAGCCACTTAAAGGGATGTTTGGTTTGGAGGAATCAATTTGTTGCTTCCAAGGTTGAAATAATGTATCGCATGAACCGAGTTTTTAAATCGTGTGAAAAATCCCATTTATAAAAGTCAATTCCTCAAAAATTAATAGAGGAATCAATTATTCTGATTCCTGGGTTTGGAGTGAAGAGTTATGAATTATGAATCAAAGGGTATTTTTTATTTGATATTTGACATGGCGGTAGGGTGCAACTTAAGGCAGGTTCCTTACATGGCAGCAGTGACGTGTCTTTGCGAATACTGTACAAAACAATAATATATATTACCACAGTTTCATTTTTTTTATTAATTTCATGTGAGAAATCGCTTTATCAGCATTATTTCCGCCAAACACAATTTCTTGAAAAAAAAACAAATGATTTTTCAAATTCCTCAAAATTATCATTCGTTTGTTAAGACGATATTGATAAATCCATTCCTCCAATTAAACACCCACTAAAATAAGTAAATAGATATCGTAAAGGACAAATGGTGTCTCTGCCAATAAATGGCTGATTGGTGAATTGTCCAAGTGTCCAGGGTTGGGGAGAGGGTTTATGGGGTTTGGGAGATGGCTACCTCATTGTCAGTTGCTTGTAGTAAGGACTTGGGATGAAATCTCACCTGTATTAGGAATGGGGGTTAAGGATTTGGGGGATGGGATTTGAGTTGTCAGTGGGTCAGTTCTGTCCGATTGCCCAAACCAAACTGACCAATTATGTCAGTGGGTTGGTTCCAATTCTTGTCTGTCCCGAATTGGTTTAGACCAAAACTGATTGGGCAAATTTTTTAAATTACTCTTGTGGTTTAACTAATTAACTAATTCTACCCTTAATTATTATTTACATATTGTTCTAAAATATTCCTGCACTATTTCTGACAATTGACATTATTGATAAATACTAATGATTTGGGAATTCATCAAACTCTGCTCTCACAATGACTTTCCCGAGAGACTCTTTTGCAAACCCAATGATGCATTCATGGCTTCACCCAAGCTGGAAAGTTTAGATTGAGTTTGTATCTTCTTTACGATGTCCGACAGGCATTTTGCTACACTTGTTGCTTAGATTTCCACTAGTTTCTAAGCCAAAATAATTGAATGAACCCATTGTCAGTTGAGTTTGGTAACTAGTAAGATAGAGGATGCGAGTTCTAATGCAGCGCAATCTAGGCACTCCTATCTGATGGACATTTAGCTTCTAATTGGCGACGGATGGTATCTGAGAAAAGGGAGGTGAAGGATTCCCGGTGAGCTCGCCCGGTGGGAATACTCCGATGCTTAAGTTAGAGCACTTGGGAAAGCTGTGAGGGATGCAAAGAGAGCTAAGAGTGAAGATAGCGCTAGATCAGTAAAATTCAAGATACCTTCGCCCCTTCGACCCTGGGGCCAGTAAATGTAGATGTTCTTGTCAAATCGGGCATAACTGCCACTGGCCCTCTGTCGCAGTTGTTATTTTCCAGGGCTGCGCAGGTAACTGTTGTAGAGTACTGTCCAATCGGATGAGAGACACGACCCAGAAAGGACAGACACACCACCACCTGTCAAGAGACGTGGGTGCAGTTTGCTG